CAAACCCAATCGACCAAAACGGTTTCTTCCCTTCACGGTTGCTTTACTTGCCCACAAAGAGCTCACCAAGATGTACTATTCCACACAGGAAAGATCACAAAGTAATCACAGGTGAAGAACAACCGAAATGGACAGAAGAGAAAACGAGAAGAAGACTACAATTTGCACACACAGGTCTTGTTGGAGGCAGTGAGTAAGAAGCAAGTATATAGCCCAAGTAAGGAGTCCAAATATGGTAAGTTAGGTATAGGTTAAAGTCACAACCTAAAGGCCCAACACTCAAGTCAATGGGCTCCAAAATGGGTAACAACGTAAAGCCCTCCAAGTAAAGGTGAATCGGGCCATGAGCAACACTATTAAACTGGGTCACTTCTTGTGGTCCATACAATTTGGGGTTGGGTCATTCTAATAGTGGCGTTGACATTTCGTTCAGCCATTTGGTCCAAGCCGACCGATAACAAAAATCAATTTTACATCATAGCTCGGGGAGTTATTGGGTATCAAAACCCAACAATTGGTAATGGTGGGGTGGTGGTTGTGATATGTTAGAAGCACAGGAAATGATGGTGGTGGTGTTGCATCACTAGTTGTGTGGTGGTTGTTGATAGGAGATTGAGGTGGTGATAGTTCGTTGGGAGTGGTGTTGACAATGGTTGAGTAGGGTAAGGTAGGAATGACAAATGGAAATTTATGACTACCTAATTGGGGTAATAGTGACCAATAAAACAAATAAGTTGTAACCAATATATAATATGTGACCTAAAAAATGTATAATTGTAATTCACAATTTGTGTTTTCATGACCAATAAATTAATTGTGATCAATTAATTTGATTATTTCTGATCAATAAATAACTTGTAACCAATTAATTTGATAATTTATGCCTATGAAATAAGTTGTAATCTATAAAATTTGTAATTTATGATCGAAAAATAAATCGTGAAAAACTAATTTGATATATTGTGATCTTTGTAATTTATAAAATTTGTGATTTGTGTCTATGACGTTTTGTGATTGAGACTAGTGCATAAGTGCGGCTATAAACTATATGATATTGTAACCTTAATTTATTTAACTCTCCGTTTAATTAATAAAACATATTTAATTGTCTATTTAATTAATACTATGTGATTTTTGGAAGAAATGTGAATCAATCCATATATAAATGATTTACTGGTACTTATCTCATGTGAAGCATTACTTATGTGTCATATAACCATTGATGGATAAACTTATGGTAGGCCATAATATTTAATTAAGTTTAAAATTCATTACTAGATTTCAGGACCGTTTCTCCTACCAAAAAATTTGACACACTTATTTGATAAATATTCATGACATTTAATTTAAATTAATCTACGTTGGATATATATATTTCACTAAGATTATGGGAGAATTTGTTATAACCACTTGAGATCCATAAAATATATATTTCACTAAGATTATGAAAGAATTTGTTATAATCACTTGAGATCCATAAAATATTGAGCGTTGGATTGACTTTAATTAAATGTCACAATTATTTGTCAAATAAGTGTGTCAAATACATGAGTATGAGAAATAGTTCCAAATAGATTTATATGAAACGTCATCGATGCTAAACATAAGATGAACACCGATACTCATTAATTATTCCTCATATATAATATGAAAAAATTATTTATGGTCTGATATTTGAAAAAAAAAATAATAAATAAATACATAAAGTTTGTCAAAACTAAAATTATGTCTTTAAATATAGATTGTTATTTACTTTCCCCTATATAAAAATAGGAAAAATTGCAACCGAGATTTCAAACTTTTTATTTTGTTGCTGAATATGCCTTAACATTTCATTTTTGCTGCTAACCTTTCACTTTAACAACAGTCAGAGAATGTTGGACAAATTCCATCCAGAATTTCGTTAGTCAACATTGAAATTTGAATTTTGATTCAAATTGACTAATTAAATGAGGTGTAAAATAGTATATTTATATATTCTATAATAAAATTAAATTAAAAAACCCCAAAAATAAAACCGTGAACATCTGCTCCATGTTTTAGACAATTTTGACAAAAAGAGGTTAAATATTTTTGTTGGGACCCTGGTGCCATGTTTATGGACTTGTACAAATTCATTCAACAAAAAATAATTGGAAATTATGGTGAATGATACGAAAAATGTGATAAAATATGAATTATTGATTCACTTACGGCTGTATACTTATAAATAATAAACAATTAACCTATTTGCACATCCACTTTGATACCTTTGACATAAAATTTACCTGGATGTTTTACAACAATTGAATGAATGTATGAGATGTGAAGGATGGTGTGAGATTATGTCAAACGTAAATTCGATAAATCTAGGTGTAAACCAGAATGTACATGTAACAAGATTGAATAATAAATACCCAAATCAATATATTTTTGGAGTCTTTATTAAAATAGTAAGTTGTTTGGTCATGTCATTTCACCTTCTACCAATAAAATTTTATTAGCTAATGACAAAGTTCTCTAAGTTTTTAAGTACCTTACTAGTATGACTTTTAAAAAGTCAAAATGAGTTTTTGGATCCATTTGGCTATTTTTTAAAAATATTTCTTCTAGTTAAAATAGTTTTTAGAATAAGTTGATCTAATGTGACTATCTTTAAAAATTCTTTTGAAATGGAAAACTCTTTTTAACATTAGTTTTCGAATAAAAATTAAGATAACTTTTTCAAAAAACTCTTATGTATAAAATAGAAAGAATTTTTTTATTTTATTATTATTATTATTGTTTTATTATTATTATATTTTTTTTTTTGTCCAATGGATTCTAAGTTCGCGCTCTTTCATCCTCACGCATTTCAACTCTATCGGTTGTCTATCATAAATTGCTGAAGTAGGAAAATTCTAATGAAGTGTGGATCATTTTAATTTAGGCCCATGGACTTTCAGACATTGCAAGCCCATTCCTGGGTAGGTCCAATAAATACTGTGCCAAGGACCATTAGTTGAAATTAGACCATTAATCCCAAGTTCAAAAGTTGTAACGGACTTTTGAACAAAACTTATAGGAAACCTCGTACACCTCACAATTTAATACAAATTTCGCCCAGCCTCATTCTTTTCATAAAAAAAATATATATATATATTTTTTGAATAGTGTATTGATGAAAAATATGTTGTTAAAAAATAATGAGTTTTGAATTTGTGCTTAATATTATTCTATTAAAGAATGTGTAGTTGAAATGATGTCAAATTATCGTTTTGAAATTCGAGCTCCGATTTTCATTGCTTACCAAATATTAGAAGTTTTAATTTTGTTTGTTTTCGACATTTCAAGAATATATGTTGACCATTTTTGTTTTCTTATACACCATATTAATACTACACGTATTTATCTACTATATCTAATTTATCGTACTGTTAGAATTTAATCTCGAAAAACAAGAAATGTAAATTTTTTTTTACCTTGGGACAAGAATCTTTTTCTAATTACTACATTTTGTAAACCTAAACAATTAATAAGATGAAGATTTAAATGTCATTGGGTTAATGAGGTAGAATCTCAACTTTAAATCAATAATCTTTATTTTCTTGATCTATTTGAACTATCTTAAATTCATGATTTTTCTTTGGTATTCTTCAACTTCAAATTACACTTTTTGAATAGACCCCAGATCTGACTAAGAACCCCAAATCAAGACTAGACTTCAAGAACGCAAGACTTTTTATTTTCAAGAGACGAGAAGGCTTCTTTTTGAAAATTTAAATTGACTTGGATAATTCTTGTTGTCTTGGTCAAAAAATGTATAGATTATTGTAGTATTTTAAGAATTTGAAACTTCATAAAAGAAAAAACTCTATCAATTACATGGTCAAACTTATCATATGGTCAAATCCAAATTTTGACTTCGATTGAATTCAAATTCGAATTGACCATCTAGTCAATCAAAGATCAATCGACTTTGATCAAACTTTAATCGTGTCGTATGTGCAATTCTTGGACTTTAATTATATATATAATTAAATCATTGAATTTTTTGGAGCTACTATGAGATCCCGTCGAACTTATATAAATCAAGCTATAATAATCGAACACAAATAATGTGATCTGATCTAGAAAATTAATTATTTGTTTGAGCTTATTCCAATAAGGGTTCAAGATTTACCTCTTGAAATATATAAAATTGTAGAAGTAATGTTATTTTATTCTATGCAATTAAATCTTCTTGACTTGCTATCTTAATTCATTGCCTCTTTTGGATAGAAATAATTAGTGACGAGCTAATTTGACCATTTTACCCAAACTAATTAATTTTTTTTTAATATTTAAACTAATATTTTCATTAACAATTTCTTTGTGATCACATCATCAAATACTAAGCTAGAATCAAAATCAATCATAAGAAAATATTTAAGTGAACTCTTTTACCAAATGAGGCGGGATTTCAGATCTGAATAATCTTCTACCACATCACTTTTCGATTCCCAACGTGATGAGGTTATGACCAATATTAGATCACACTCATTAATCGAAGACACTTTACACACATGCTCAAATTATAATGTAACTTCCTTTTTATTAAATAAATAAAACCTACTATTTATTCATAATACATTCGAAATCCAAAAAAAGTAAATAAATAAAATAAAAATAAAATCCTAATATTTTAGGCACATAACCCAACATGTATATCTCATGTGCTCACGTTATCATACAATAAAGGGAAACAATGAGACTATTAAAACCAAGATTTATCACCTTCTCCCCCTTCAAATTATTATGTTTAATGAAACAAAAACTGATAAGATGGGTTGTCATGTTTAATGGTAGGTGACTAAACAACCAACTTGTGATCACTTGCAACTTTATTCTTGATTTCAACAACTTAATTACTCATTTTCCTTCAATGCCAAGAATAAATTATTACACAAGAACAATTTACTTTACCTCGATGTTAGAATTAAGCTATAATCGTATCTGCAAAAGAGGTAACTTATAATTATAACATGCGAAAATTTACTAGGTAAAAAGAACATTCAACATAGTAGTTATTACTTCGAAAATCTGCAAATAATTAACGAATCTGTACACTTTTCCGTGTGAGTTTGTGTATGTTCTTTTAAGGAAAATTAACCAAGAAAGAAGATGGATCATCAGCTGGAGAGTAGGCCGAGTAGTAGCTCGTGCTCGAGGCTGCTGGTTCCGCTCCACCATGGCTTTAACCCAAGTTGATCGTTACTGAGATCTTCTTCGACAGGTGCAGGCAAGTTGAGATCAAGAAAATCTCGAATTCCTGCAGGAATTGGTTCTTGTTTTTCGATCACGGTAGATGGATTGGTTTTCTCCTCGCGAATTAAATGTGATCTCTTGTGTCCACCTAAGGCTTGGCCAGATGCAAAAACTTTAAAGCAAATCGGGCATTTGAAATCCTTTGAAATATTCTTGACTTCTGATTCGGACTTCATTGCAAAAATATCGATCATGAGTTTACCATTCGAAGATTGATTTGGCAAAATTTGATCATTGTCGAGTCTGTTTTCGTTGTTTGGAGTGCAGCAGCCTTTTAATTTCTTGTGGCTCGCTCTATGGCCTCCAAGTGCTTGATAAGAAGAGAAGGCCTTGTGACAATGTGTGCACTCAAATCTTCTTTTTTTCTCACAGAAATCATAATCAGAAGTGCCAAAATAAGTAACTTTTTCTTGGAAATCCTCAGGCACACTCAATTGAGGATCATACGAAACAATGCATTTTCTCTTGCTTAACTTCTTCTTCTTATTAGATTCTATCTCAAACTTTTCCGATCCGCTTTTCTTTATCAATTTCTTGGGAGAGTTAACTTCGGACTCGTTGTCAAGATTCTTTTTCTCAAGAAACCCATATGCAGAAACATGAGATTTGCTGATTTTGAGACCATTTATTGGAAAAACAGGAGTTTTGATTTCCTCATCAGACTTTGATTTCTTGGTGTTCAGTAGAGTAATTTTGTTCGACTCTAAAAAGTTAGAATTATTCTCAGAGGATTGATCGAGAACAGAATTCATAACACTCACATCCCTCGAAAGCATAATTAAACTAATGGCAACCTCTTCTTGTTCTTGCTGATCAATCTCAGAAATGCAGGGTGAAACATTAGCAGCAATAGTACTTAAAGAAGATGAAGTGTTGTACCTTTTGATCATTCTATCCGATCTCTTTCGTCTGCACGGGTTCAAACCGTCATTATCCGATTCGCTATCCAAATCAGGCTTCTGATGATCATTCGACCCGTTCCAAGAATCCTCTTCGACACTAGAAATGTTCCTTCCATTTACAGAGTGGCACTTCATGTGGCCAAACAAAGCTTTCCAAGATTGGAAACTTTTTCCACATTCCTTACAAATCTTGTCCTTAAACAAACTACCCTCATCATCGTTTGATGACTTGGAGAATTTGTTTGTCTTCTTCGGATTCTCCCTCAGTTCGTCGGAGTTACTTTTCGAATTGATAAGAGTTGGGAGCTTCTTTTTTTTGATCAATTTTTCATCAGATGAAATATTGATCAAATGAGACCTCATGTGGCCCCCCAAAGATCTACCTGAGGCAAAGCCTTTGCTACAAAACTTGCACTTATGTTTTAGTCCCTGATCTTCCTCCATAGAATCAATCAAATCAAAATCCAAAAGAGAAAGAAACAAAGATCAAAAATTGATCAAGAAAGAGATGATATCATGAAGCGGAATCCGAATCCCAGGATTTCAGATTCTTGAATTTTATGTGGAGTGTTAACAAGATCTGATGAACAAGAAAAGCAAAGGCAAAAGAGCTCTCTTTGCTTTTCTCTCTAATTTTTTTCTTGCTAGTAGAAGTAGAAGTAGCTATAGAGTAGTTGAAACTTGAAAGTTGAACTAATTAAAAGAAGGGTCAGTTGGCTTTGTAGCTAAAGACGGCGATGAACAAGCCAAATTATGGAAGAAAAAAATAAAATTGGGGTAGAGAGAGATTCTTTCTCTTGCAAATTTTGGAGGAGAAATCCATGCATGTAAGCAAAGATAAAAGGAAGGTAAAAGCTATCATAGTGGCTGGTGTACTCCTAAAGAATCGTACGCCAACTAGCGAAAGGGACCAATAGTAAATTTGGACAATAGATCTAAACTCGATAAAAAAGAGGTATCACAAATCAAAACTCGGAGCATAAACGTCTATGTAATAAGTAAATCCACATTGCCAAGTCAAAGATAGGTCGTGTTAGAGCTACTAGGACAACAAGTTCAGAATAATAGATCTAGATAAAAAAAGTCGAAGATCCCCAATGTAGGGTGGGGTCCCATCAAGTTGTCTTCACTATTGTTACTTGCCAATTAAAAGCATACTACTCTACTCTACTCTACTCCATTGAATTTTGTTGGGTAAATTTCCAAATATGAAAACAATTATTATCTCTAATATAGGAAATTATGGGGTAAATATGGTTTCTGGAATTCAATAAACGGATATGTATTAAATTGGATTGATATTTCGATCAAAATTTTCGCTCTCAAATAATGAATAATTTTGAATTCGACCTTCCTCATTTTTATTTTTTTTTAGCCAAGACTCCACAATGGAATTCGTAATAATATGGTTTCACCACAGAATTAGTCCGATCTATCATATTTAAAAGAGTAAGAAAAGAACGTCTAGCTCATAATTTTTTTTATAGTTGTAACTTTTATAAATACGAACTTCTTTAACTGAACTAGAATCCCAACTCAACCCTTCTTAAATGAGATTTCGAGAAGATCATTACTAAAAAAATCTAAACTTATTCATAATTTCAACTAAAAGATAACACGGTGTTGTAAAATTTTATGATAGTTAATTCCCTCTTATGACTTAAAATTTAACTGAATTAAAGCATTATTTTTATTATCTTCACTAATCAAACAAAAAATAAAATAAAATAAAATAAATTGTTTCTACCCCAACAAAAATAAGTAAAAGCTGTCTGGAATTAAAGAATAATAATAATCGATAGAGGCAATTGGATTGTAGTAGCGAGGCACAGGCTAGCTTTTAGCTGAAATGAACGCTGATTGCGGGCCGGCCAGCCTGCCGGCCTTTGCTCACAACCAAGCCGGCCGGCTCGAACTGCACAATTCTCGCACTGACACTTTTCGCCAGCATTTCATTTCAAGATTTAGCTGTTATGTATTTGTTGATGTCTTCTAAGTTAAATTAATTGGTTAACATTGCACACAATATTATGTAAATATTTGATATGAAACTATAATCTCAATTTTTAGTATTTAATTTTTGCTATTATTCTATATTCTTCTTTAATTAACATGTCAGAAAATAAAAAATTAAATTTTTATTGACTATCTTATATATTATAATTTAATATTGCATAATGGTCATGTCCATCTAGCATGTTTAGTAAAAAGAATTGATGTGGAAGAAGTATTTCATGGACTTGGTTCCATGGACAAGAAAGAATAGAATTAAGGGTACGCCCCATCCGAGCTATTAGGCCAAGGCTAGATGAACTAATTCAAGCAAGGAATATTTTTCGCATCCCCGAAGAGATATGTTCTTGCCATTGTCATTTGGTTGCCAAAGAGAGACGTTGTCACGATACTATTTCACTATCGATCATCAAAGAATATTTGATCTTACAAGATAGATCAGTGTCTCAGAGAAGATGCACTTTTCTGAGGATACATGGTCCGATTTCTCTTCTTTTTTTTATTTTTTTTTTTTATTTTGACTTTATAATATTAAAAAAGAGAGAAGTTAAAATCTTGCTCGTCATAATATTTAATCGTGTCTAGAACTCTGTAGTAAATAATTAAGTTGCTCATGTTTCGATTCTTTTGTTGACTTTGTTTGCATATGAAGTGGGCAAAGGTTGAAGTTTAGTAAGCACATAGTATAGCAAATGAAAACTAGGAAACATCACTACATAATTGCTTCCTAATTGTTTTATTGTTATAGACATGTGCATATGCACATTATATGTATGCTTGTGATTTGGCCTGTTAGTGTTCATGCACTACTATGTATGTACAATTGCCCTGTGAATGGACAAAGAATCTTACATTTGAAATAAATAAAATAAAATAAAGGCAATCAAGAGATTTTAACATTTAATTTTCTTCAAATATTAGATAGTAACATGGCTTAGTACAATGTGACTTATTAAACACTATGATCGATTAGGCATATGTCCTTAAGATAGTTATGACAAATGAAATTACTTTTAACGAAAATTTAAAATTTAAAATGTCATTATTTGGTTTATTCATAAATAAAGGTATTGGCTTATTCATAGAAAAGGGTACTGTGGAGAGACTTTTTAAGAAAATTATTTAATCATTAAAAGTAAAATTTCTTGTAGCTGCAAGATTAATGAGCTAACAATTAATGAGCATATTCGGCTAAGCTTAAGTAGTTACTCATAAGTAAATAAGCTTAAAACTAATTAATTCTTTTATTGATAAAAAAAAAATTAAGTATTATGCTTAGTTTGACAGCAAAGAACTTATTTTTAGAAAGATAACAATTTTTTACCTCTATGGGTGAAAAAGAAGTAAGTTTTTCACAATTTCATCCCTTTCCAAAGTAGAAATTGTGCCAAGAAATGGTACTGAGTTCTTTGCACGTTGATGATCTTTGTAGCAAGGAAATAAGTAAAGGGCCTAAAGCTGCTAATCCTTCAACTATCAAACAAAAATACAAAATTACTAGAAGGGAAATCGAGGTTTGGACCATTTGGTACATACTACATAGTACTATGATTACATTCAACAATATTAACTTTATGTATTAAACAAATCTTAGATTTAAGTCTTATTCGGTGCCAAATCCCTTATAATCATGGTTAATGGTGGTGAATTTTGGACCATCAAAATGTTTTTTTAACATTTATCGACTCAATTGAGTAAAATTATGTGATTTTTCTTAAGGTACTCTCCAATTGACAAATCTCTATCCTAGAAAAAGTTGGCCATTCACTTGTCCTAGTCCGATGCCTTTGCAACATTATTAAGAAAGGAAGATAAGATGCCTTGCTTTGGATCTATTGGTTAACAAATTCCCCAATTGAACAACATATAAGAACAAATCCTAGAAATACCATTAGTGTATCACAATATTAATATTTGTTGGCTATATTAAGCCTACAAATAAGTAATTTGTTTTGTTTCTATCTTCATTTTTATATTTTTCAATAAAATGATAAATGTAATCTAAAATTTTAATTTATAAGATGGCCTGTAAAGCTTGTATAGATCAAGTTAGACCTAAACGACGCATAGTTGGTAACAAGAAACGTGAAAGGCCTTTGAGTGCCAAGTAGTTAGTTGGCTACTTACCAAAGAAAGTAGATAGATCAACCAAGGCAAAATTGGACAAACTAATTAAATAAGTCAACCATGAGTTAGCCGCTCGAACTATCATGAAACAACTCCCACCAAATAGACAATCCCCTCAAATAGCTAAATGAGACTTCACCTAAAAACAATCGTAGACGAAAATATTTCTACATATTCATAAACCCCGCATATGTGTGTGTGCGCATGTTAATTATGATCATATACCAAAATCCTTTTTGCAATTTGTAGCAATTATGAGTTATTAAATCTTAGTTATGTACCTAACTAGCTAGCTAGATGCATTTTTAAGCAAGATATTTCATTTAAATATTGAAATCATGAAAAAATAAAAATGAGGGGAAAAATGTAAATTTACAAATGTTGCTTTTAGGCAATATCTTTAATCCCAAGTCAAAGCAAGATCCACTAAGCATGGAGTAGAAAATTACTTCAGAGCAAGAGTGTATGCAGATATGCTGCAGCTTAACTGGTCCACTATGTATCATCTTCTTTGATTAAGTAATTAAAAATATGAATAAACAATCATTAATTATAAGTAAGTCAAACTTTTATTCATGCAGGCCATAAATATTTGTACGCCTCCTCGAGGGTACTACTGGGGCATTTTCATGCTTCTGACTTTGTTGGGAAGATACGTATTAAAAATAAATAAATAAATAAATAAAAATGTAAAATTGCACTATTAGTCCCGAAACTAAGGACTCTATTGCAATTTTGCCCTCATATCTCGAAATGCTGCATGTTTTTTGCAGTGTTTTCATCAATAATAATAATACATTAACAGATAGTATGAAAACATGTATGCAAAAGGCAACTAAATATCCCAATTTTATGGGTGTATGAATAATAAAGGTGCATGTGCAAATGAGCAAGTTCTCAACAAAAAAATGCTTAGGGAATACGCAAAAAAAGTCAGTTAATTACAAAAAGGATTTAAATTAAAAAAAAAAAAAAAAAAGTGAGAAGAAGTTAAGTGCAATGGGACCCATATTTCACCTTCGCTTGATATTTGCATTGGCCGTGCATGTGGGTGTTAGAATCAAATATTGTCTTCACCCAAATGCAATAAAAAGTTAGAAAAAGAAACACACTGGCTTTTCCCTCATTAGCAATTTCTTAATTACTTTATGGGTCTTGGGCTTGCTTATTCTGCTTCTAAGAAGAATATTTCAAGATTCTTTTACATGATAATGAAGAAGAACCCAAACACCCACAAAAACATGTGCTCGCCACAAATCAGGCATAAATTGTTGAACCACTTGATTTAAAAGATTAAATTAAATAAGTAAGAATGAAATTTGTACTCACGAACTTTGTTTATTCTGTTATCCTATTAAACTATTTGATTTAAAAGTTCAAGCTGTTATTTAGAATTACACATACATCGCTAAATCTTAACTTTCAAAGGCATATGTCAATGTATAGTAAAAAGAAGACATAGAACCAAACCAATAGAATACTCTATTTATATGTTGTACGATAAATTAGTAATCTGGCGCTTAAGTCAACTCAACCAATAACATAATAATAACATGGTAAGGTAGTGTCTAATATCAAAGATATCTATTGTATAAACGAAAGAGAGTTGAGTTTCTTTTGTTGGAATGGCTGTTGAAATATTTCTTTGTTTTCTCATAGAAGTATACAATTAAGTAAAGTATGTTTTTAGTGGTGAGCATGAACTTTAAGTGCAATGGACATTTACTTGGATTCCTACATAAAAGAATAGAAACAATTACACCCCTATCATAAACGAACATACGGGTCATCCTATTTTGTATACATAACTTTGAATAAAATTATTTTAGTATGGTTACTCACAAAGTTAAAAGATTTCACCACGAAATATAAAAAATTAATAATTACTCAATTTATTATAAAATAAATAAAAATATAATATATAAACGTACAATGTTAAAGAATGTAACTAACGTGTCCCATGAGTCTATATCCTACCTTTTATTTCCACCTACCCCATATAATCATATAAATGAGGAGATTATAGTGTCATTGAACTTGAATGGTGATGTGATGCAGATCAAGCACCAAGAAATAGAACGGACCGCAATAAGCTCTTGTCTGGTTTGGATAAAAATTAATTTTTTTAGTAGATTTTGATAAAATTTGATAAAATATATAGTTGAAAAGTTGGTAAAAGTCCAAGTTCCATAAAATGTATAGTTGAAAATGAATTTGGGAGAGGGGGGAGAGTGAGAGTGGGGGGCCAAACAGGGGTAAATCTGCTCAAAACAGTTTCTTATTCAATGAAGCAGTCTTACATGTACAATTGCAAAAGACAAGGAAATATACTCCAATAGGCATTCCGTGAGTAGAAACTAAAATGTGTTATTGAAAGTTGGCCCATACATACAGCTTATGTACACAGCATTTCACAAAGATCAAATACCAGCCACAGAACAGAAGTGATACCATTTGCAGCTCTAAATCTTTAAATACATAAGCCATAAATATCTGCGCCATGGCCTTGTTCAAATGGCTCCACCCAACATGGCTGAGAAACTCGACTTCTACAAGATACAAAACTCAAATGATATATAGGAATGAAGCAATATCGAAGAAACATCACAAGAAACTGCTAACAAAGAATTGAAATGTGATAATCAGGAGAGGCTTTTGATAATATAGCAAAGTGGCAATCAGCATATGCGGAGTTGAGCCTTTTTTCTTCTCATTAAGTGAACTAGAAATTGCTAACTATTTCAACAACTATGTACATATAGCATGCCGTCAAAAGGAAAACATAAATACCTTCAATTGTTTGTCTTCTTCAAGCACACAGAAAACGACTTATCATATACTCCCTATGGAACTCATGATCCATATTGGCAACCCGGTGACTTAAGATTCATACGCTCGGGGGTTAAAATGAGATATCATATACTACCTATGGGTTACACGATATGATACGACATGGACTCAGATACGAAACATAAGATTTTCAAAAATAAGGACAAAGGGACATCAATTAAAACTCGTAACATTTTAAATTTATATATTATATCTTTATATACTTTTTAATATAGGACACAACACAAGGCAAGTCGAACACTTGCACGAGAAGAATACTTAAATATCCCTCGATGCTATATATTAAAGATATATTATAAATCGGTCACAGTATACGGCTTATCAAATCCATTTCTGGGAGTGTAGGAGGATTCTTAGTGTCCAACGCAAAACAATACACGCCGGACATGAATACGCAGTCCAAGTAAGAGTGTCTTTGTTTCGTAGAAAAAGAGGGTGAACCCAGATTGGCAATTCTGTGTTTAACACAAATGGAATTTAGAAGAAGAATCAACCCTACTTGCGAAATCTTCTAAAATTATAGAAGAAAAAAAGGCAAAAATGCAGAATTGGCATCAGAGAGTGGTTTGGAAGCCTTACAAAAATTGTCATTGCAAGTATTTCATAGATCAACACCCTCATCAAGACCTTTAGAACTTATCATCACATTAGAATCTATTTGCTTGTCAAACTTCTTTTTCCTCCGGGATTCAAAATCCTGAAATCCCTCCATCTGAAAGATAACTTGGGTGATTACTTACAGATAGAAGTTGCATGGTACTGTCAATTATTGATATTAAAAGTGCATTGAGCGGTGTGAAAGAGAAACAGAAAAACACTAATCCCACTTGTTGAAATTGATCCATAACAATGGGATTGCCATGGAGTGATATATTCTGCAGACTTTTGCATTCTTTCAACAAATCTGGAGGTACCTGCAATATGCAACTAACTAGAATAACAAATTTAATGCTAATATAAAACCAAAATTCAAGTAAAAATCCGACAAGAAAAGACATCTGGCAGAAAATGGCCGGTTAAATGATATAGAGAGAGAGAAAGATGATTAAAAATAATTCAATTCCAAACAATAATGATCTTCATTATTATAAAAGGCAACGTTTACAGGATGAAAGTATCAGAAATTTACGAAAAGAAATTTATTAAAAAGAAAAAGGATGACAACATAACAATCAACAAAATACCTGCCTCACATTATTATTGTTCAAGGACAGTGATTTTAGATGAACGAGATTGCAAACTGAAGCAGGAAGCTCTTCGATGGAATTTTCTGCAACAGATAACAAATCATGCAGTTAAATAGGAGGGGTAAAGAGTGGTGGAAAATGCAGCAAAAGACTCATGGACAAAATCACTCAAAAACTACAAACAGAGAAGATAAAAACTAGCTAATGCTACGTTTCCCAAAATAAGAAATGCGTCCAGTTCTAAAGATTCAAAATCAACATGCGGTGCAGAAAATATTATTTACTCCCATAAAGAAAGCTTGGAAACAACAATATCTATTATTACCCATGGACCAGCGAGGAAATAAAATGTTCGTAGAACATTCTTTACCAAACATGGTAGTAATAAAAATCTAATGCGATTGTCATTGGATCCTTGAAGGGAAGATATTGCTTTCATCTTTTTGGTTATCCTCATATATCAGTCCTCTCTTCATAATGCACCAGTATCTAATTCGTGCAATACTAAAGGGACCTCAGTTTCTTGGGTATTACTAAGGAGGAATTTCCACCAAGAGTTTCTTCAACATTTTTTTCTATTAATCTCAAAGCTAAATATACAAAAGATGTGCAAGTTTTGCTTAATTTACTCAATCTATTTCTACCGTCATCCCCAATTCTGATGTCTAGGTATCTAGAAAGTGGTATGTAAGTGCTAAACGTATACATAACTTTACACTCACACCTGATGCCATCTCAGGTTTTTACATTCCCTCTGAATTCAATCATACAAAAATTAGGAATCTAAAGTCTCTTCAAAGGTAAAAGCCTTCACCTGGTATTCGGTCCTTCAGATGCACATCGAAACTCTATAGCCTAAAAACTGAATGAATGAGCACTGAAACAAAGGAAATAAAACTTCCTAGTTGAAAAAAACACATCCATGCAGAAAAACTGCACCACGACAATTATACCAGATAACTGAAAAAGTGCAAAATGCCCGACCAATCTAACCTTAAAAGAAAACAAAAAAAAGGGGGGGAAAGAAGAAGCAAAGTATGAGATTTTGCACAAAAATAATTTCAGATGTCTGGTCATCAGGACAGAAATCATTATCAACTCTATAAACAGAAAGATAGATCTGAAGGTACCATTTGCTTGAATTTCTTCCAGAGAGAAGCAACTACCAATGGACTCTGGAAGAAAGTTTAGCTTGTTCTTCGACACATTTAACAGCACCAACTGCAAAGTCATATGGTCTGCATTAGTTCTACAATTTTAATATAATATCTAAACAGAGTTAATTAATTAAAGTGTAACTTTAGATCTCATGAATCGGCAGTTAACTCAAAGAATATCTGCAATTATATTCTATTCCAACTGTATGTAAAATACATGGAAAGTCAGTATTTGTCGTAAGATACACTAAATTACCTAACTTACAACTTTTAGATAACAAAATTCCCAAATCATTGTTTTCTTTAAAAATAAATCAAATTTAGTTCAGCTTTATCACTTAGATCCAAGAAATTGAATTGCAACGTTTAACAATTAAAAAGTTGATTTTCATTCTGATCACTAGTTATTACACTTACTAAACTCAACCACAGAAATTATGATTAAACAACTAAATGGCATTATCCTGAGTAATTTGAGATCCACTTATTTCTTTCCTTCAAAACTCAACTAATATTTCTGCCTACTCATAAAATCTCTTCTTCTTTATCAATTTCTGCATCCTTTACATCACAAATGTGAATGACTTCTATCATGATGGCAATGGAAATCTTGTAGTTATAAATGATTTAATGTGCAGGTATATGCAACTCCACAACCCATGTTCAACAATTCTTTCATTTTCGACTCCAATACTACAATGGCATGGTTACAAATACATGGAGTTTTCCTATTCGTGTAGCTAGTAACTCTACAGCATATATCATTGACTATGCTACACAACTGATTTGAATCATGCATTTCCACTTCTTTTCCTCTAGCTTTTCATGAGGACTATCAGCCAATATAAAAGAAATGAATATTCTATCTTCAACTTCAAATCACGAAGAATAATCATGCATTTGTTGTACGAGGAATATAAGAGAAAGGTTCCCACTATTCTAAACCTATGAAACTTCACAATGACTATTGACAAAGGTGTGAAAAAATTTCAAAAACATAAAATCACAGAAATTGGTGATGGCATAGGATGACTGCAGAATTGAAGCAAACAACTTGGTGTCAAGCATAAAATCAAGTGTCTAGGCCAAATGCCACCAATGAAATAAACTATGCCAAAAGTCAAAATCTATGTCAATAAACCCATCAAGCACCCAACATTAATGACACCAATATGGTACAAGCAATAACATTTCTAATGGAAACTCACACGCTCTTAAAATGAAAGAGTCATAAGTAGTATCTGCGAGCTACTCACATTGCGCAAGCTCCCGATCGTTTCAGGCAAATTCAGTAGCAGATTTCCAGATATTGATAGCCGCTCTAGTTTCACCAATTGCCCCACTAAAAAAATAATAATAATAAAATAATCATTTCATATAAACAAGATACGGTGTGCTGTAAGTAATATAACCTTCTAAGTTAATCAACAAAGGGGAGATTTTAACCAGAGGTTCAACTAAGTCAATACTAAATCCTCTAAATTGGAGAAAAAGAAACTTACATTCATCAGGCAATGTGGTAACTCGATTTCCATCGAGGGTCATAACTTTTAAAGATTGAAGCTTCCCCAGATTCATTGGAAGACGCTCAATGACGTTATCAGCTAAAATCTATAAAAACCAATCTCTTAGAAGAAGCTCACCATCTCATTATTAACATAAATACATAATATTGCTGGGACCTAGTAACAAGTATCAAGTGCAAATACATGATTTCACATCTGTCCCAAGAAAAATGAGTACCTGCTTGACTGGTGGAAGTGATACTGACACTTGTTTCAAAGGATTATTCATTTCATAACTCGCTTTTGCTTGTCAAACAGGGCCAATTCACAGGCACTGAGGAACATGGCCTGTCAATTGGCCCAGTTTCTATAGCAGGTCTCTTCATAAATATGTAGAACTAAAATGATTCGAATATTATATTTTAAAAAATTATTAAAATAATAAAAATTTCAAACTAATATTTTATATAATATGACTATTTAACTTAAATACTTTTTGGTAATTTGACATTCTGTTACCAAATGTGTAACTACTTACAAAGTAGTAATAATTATAAGTACTATTTACAATGTAAATTAAAACATTAAATGTTCTGTCTTATCTTCTAGGAAAATACAAAAACAGTTATTGCCTCCAGTACAATATTGGATGCCACATGTAGTTCAAGACTTACAATCCATTATATCATCAAACCTAGTGTTTGAATTGGTACAATTCTTTATGATAGTTAGTACCTAAATACAAATGGTGACACTGCCTTTACTGTATTGTTAAGCATGGAGAATGACAACTTAAAGTTTTGACTTGAGACATTCAGTTTAGTTCATCCAAAGAAATGAAAACCCATGTAAAATCAACAGCATTAATTTTTTTAACGAGAATTGAGATATCAAACAATCTACTTTCTGTAAATTCCTTGTGATTTTGATAAAAATATTTAATTACCCATTCACACAGGTAAGCAAAATCGCTGTTAGCATATCCAGCAATATTGCACCAGTTCATATATATTGTAGTTAAATATTAATATAAATATAAGTTCAAGAAAACGAACTCATAGATACAAAAACTCAAATCAGCAATTCTTACCAGCCGTTGCAAATTAATCAATTTGCTTATCTCCATAGGAATATCAACTGAAACAGCACATACAAAAGGAGAGAGTTTTAGGTAGGTAAAGTTACAGACATGGAAACAGCTAACTTCTGAATTTGATTTTGGTTTTGGTTGGTGTGAATGCATAAATTCCAAAACCAAGAATCCATATGAAATTAAGGCAACCACAAAACTCAAGAATTGATTTAAAAACAAAAATGCTAACAAAAGCAGGTGCTTCAAATACTAAAGATCATTACCCAATCTGTTGTGCGATAAATCAAGGGTACGAACGGATCTTTCTAGATCAATAACTTCATCCGGAATTGTCTGCAATCAAAACAATGGAAAACCTAAAATCACATAATCAGTAACGGCATCTCCAACCATAGCACCAAATTAGTGTTTTTGGTGCAAAAAATCAAACCACCAAATCTCTACACCAATTTGGTGCAATGATCAGCATTGCAACAAATTCAATTTTTATATATTTTAATTTGATAATTATATTTACTAACATTTGTGTTTCTTTTGTGAAAGGATTTTTTTTGTATTTAAATAATTTCTGAAATAATTGTTAAGAATTTAAAAATAAGTATATAAAGGAAGCAGTGTTCATTTTGGTGTAATGGGCAACCCCGGGGGTAGCTCAGTGCGTGTGAGCTGCCCGGACTCCCACTGTCATAAAAAATGAAAATGGTGTAATGGGTGGGATGACTTTGCAATTTGCATGATGGTGGGAAAGTTGGAGATGGCCCAAGTATTACCAGCATAAACAAAATACGCCTAATTCTGCTAAAATTCCATTTGTTTCTTTTCTCATTTTCCACAGCAAAAGCCTTGTTTCAATTTAATCAATAGAAATTCGAATTGAATATTACTAATCATACTCCATCTTTGAAAAAAAAAATTAAATTAAAACTAAAAACCCAGCAAGATATTTGAAACGAAGAAGGCGATGAAACGAAAACATGCCTTCAATTTGCAATCGCGCAAAGCGACAATGCCAGTGGACTGCCACCGAGTTACCCGACTCGCTTTAGAATCGGCGCTCTTGCTGCTGAAACAGCCCATGTCCCCTTTCAATTCAATTCAATTCCTCCGTTCAGAAATTAAATACACAACAAACATCTGTATGGATTGTTTGTAGGCAAATGAAGGATTAAAAATCAATGGAGAATAAGGATTTAATAGATGGACAGAGGACGAAAGAATAGAAGAGTCGTTTGCGGGAGAGAGGGAGACTTGGAACAAGAAACCGCGTTGGGTTTGGGCATTGTCGAAATTGTGTCAAATAGAGTCTCTGTCTTAAATCATAATATACTACACTTTGCATTTCTAGCCTTTGACAAGAATAAAAATTTTAAAATAAATATATTAAATTCAATTTAATATAGGGATACTTTAAAAAATGTCCAATATTATGGGTGTCGATTCAAAAATATTCATTTTAAATTTGGTAATAAACTGTCTATTATGTCCTTAATAAAAAAATGAAGCAATAAATTTTTTTCCAATTATTGCGGATTTTGAGAAGTAGCTTTCATGATAAGCTACATTAAAATGATGTTCTCGACATTTCAAATGTTGTTCTCGACATATTAAATTTCTAGATTGATATTTCATTCCAAACATGACATTTCTCTACACTTGAAATGTAATTCTCGACATTTTTGTGTCAATGAGAAAAGTAATATTTATTGTGATTTTACATGTACACTTTTGAAATAAAATAGGGCAGGTTATATGTCAAAATTTTATTGGTCAATAAAATTTTTAATTGCAGAAATGTCCATTTTTGTCTTTTTGTGGAATTAGAAATTGTTAACAAGGTGCCCCCAGGGCACATCTCTAAGTGGTAAAAGGGGAGGGTGGAGAAATTCAGCTTTACTTGAGGCTGCTGCGTCAAGGGTTCGAATCCTGAAATATGGATTTGGCTTTTGAGTAAGTGCAAGTGTACAAGTAGCCTTCCACCCTGTACCCTTGGAGGCATAACCTGCGATTTACCTCCCTCACGATGCTCCAGGACAGGGGCAGTGGGGGACCCTCAAGGTTGGGATTCAACCTTTTTTAGAAATTGTTAACAAGATTATTTTGGTCTGAATTATTTCAAAATGGACATTTTTGCAAGGATTTGCAATTGTAGACATTTTTGCAAAGGGATATGTGAAAGTGAACATTTCTAGTACTTTCCTCTTTAATAAATTATCTAAGGGGGTGTATGAGAGTTATTTTTATGTAAAAATGCATTTTAGCCCCTGTTTGGTCCACTTTGTTTTCATTAAAATGAAAAATATGACCGTTATCCATCGCAACAAAACATCAAATTTGAATTTATATCTTTTGTGTGGGGCCCTAACGACTATATTTTTCATTCTCATTCTTCCAAAAATGAGAAACAAACAGGGGCTTAAAATAGTAAATTTATGGGAAATTGGTGGTTGAAAAATAAGGAAATTTTTTTTTTATTTACATGCAATATTATTTTAATAAAGAATGTGTGATTGAAAAAAAAGAAAAAAATACATTTTGAAAAAAATGGGTACCAAATGAGACCTAAATTACCCTCCTTCCACATCACAGAAAATATCCGTTCCTCCTTCCCAAAATCGATTGCAAACCCTTTTTATCACTCTCCTCTATCAAATTTCAACACTTTTGCTTCCCATTTTGAACGCCAACACAGCAAAATCTTTCGTCGTCTTCTTTTATTCTTACATATCTTCTTCATCTAAACAGGTAATGTGTAATTATTCTCCCATTTTCTCGCGACAATCGCATAGGAACAACCATCGTCGCGAATAGCTTCAACCAGAATAATCACTATTGCAAATAGCAATTCAAGGAACCAGTGTTTTGAACTTTAAAGGTTTATTTTGCTTCTATGTCTATATGTAATGTTTTCCTTGCTATAAAGCAATGACTGCTATGTAATGAATAAGGTGGTAGGGATTTGATTTGTTTACGTAATGAATAGCAATATGCATTCTCAAATATCTTTCGCCTACCGAGCTATGTAGTATGGCAGAAGAGTGTAAAAATTTAGACATTGGAATCAAGTAATAGCCATAAAGTTAACTCTACAGTTCGTACTATGATACTCCTATTTTGTTTTTATGGTTATTTAGATTTATTTTTTGTTCTGCTGATCCGAAGGTTATGGTTGTCTTCAATGAAGTAAATTAAGAATGTAGACTCACATTTTAAAAGTAGAAAGTGTTGTTACTTTTGCTTATACTTTTTCATGCCATTATTTTAAGAAAATCTAGAAATACAAAAGTGATCTAATCCTTTTGTTAATTAAATATGATGTTTATTATATTGTGTTAGAAAAATGATGACCTTCTGTATCTTTATTCATATTTTGTAGAGGTAAAGTTACTTTCATGATATGTTGGGTGGCAATAGGCAACTTCATCATGCATGCAAGAGAAAACGATACCATGCCATTTATGTAGTTTTGAAAACGGTAACTCTATCGTTTTAACGAAATTAACAAGAATAAACAATCATTTTCACTCCAACACTTTCCACATCAGTTAACAAAACTTTCAGAATGAAAATTCAGCGATCATATGACCTGCTTTTTACTTTTTAATTATTGTCAACCACAAATTATAATTTCTTTTTATAGCTAATAGAATATGAGTTAATTTTGTTCCTTAGTGTAGTGTAGTTACTCACGAGATATGTATGTTGTGACTTAGGCATGTCCAAATGTAGGGAAAAATTGTATTCATTCATCTTTATATAAATACAAGTGAACATAAAGTGATCTAGACAAGGAACTGGTTGAAACGAAACCCCAACTGTTTAAAACAACAACATGCTATTTTGATTTATGAAGTATTGATTTCATTTCAAATGCAATGAAAACTTGCATTTCTTTATTTTCACGTGAATACGAGTGAACATTAAATGAAACAAACATGAAATTAGGTGAAATTGCACTTAGTTGTTTAAAAAGATAGAATTGTCATTTTGTGTTCGTTTATTTACATATGCATACAAGTTAAATATAAAGTGAAAAAAACACAATTTTTTGAAACAATAGCCAACCATTTAAAATAACATGTCAATATGGGTCTCTAGGTCTCGATTTCACTCTAAGACTAATCAATCATATTACAAAACATTTTAGAAGACTTGTACAAGTTAAACAACCTATTTTTATTTTTATTTTTTTAAAATCTTATTTCATAACTAGATTGTAATGAAATTTGAGTCACTTACTTTCATTTATAGTACAATCCAGTAGTTTACTCATGCAACAAAAATGTTGCATTCATGCATTTTAATATTGATAGGGAGTGGATATAAAGTAAAACAAATACAATAATAGTTGAAAATGATACTTGATCGTTTTGAATGATAGCATGCCATTTTGGATCACATAGCTTGATTTCACTACAAAACAAGTTAATCATGTCTTGGAACATCTTAAATAACTTGCAGAAGTTAAACGAGTTAATTTGTTGAGTACTTTATCTCATAGTTGATATAATGAAAATTTGGTTTTTTTTCAATTGCAAAGTCTAGTGTAATTTACTCACAAAACAATATTGTCTGTCATTATCGGGTGAACTTTCGTATCAATCTTCATATTCAAATGCAGTGAAAATTTGCATTTGTTCATTTTTATATAAAAGTGTAATGAATACAAAAATAGTTATAACGTCGTTTTGGATCATAGGGCCTCGGTTTCACTCCAAAATGAGTTCATCATATTTTGAAACATCTTAAAAGACTTATACTAGTTAAACAAGCAAATTTGTTGAGTATCTTATCTCATAATTGAAACATAAAAAAATTTTGGTTACTTACCTTCGTTCTTAATAAAACTTAATGTAATTTACTCCCAAGACTATTGCTGATTACTATCGGTGAACTTTTATATCGACCTTGGTATCCAAATGTAGTGAAAACTTACATTCGTTCATTTTTATATAGATTCGAGTGAACATAAAGTGAATCATACAAAAAAATAATTGGAACTTGCACCCAATCGTTTAAAACAATAATATATGGTTTTAGGTCACGGGGTCTCAGTTGCACTTCAAACCTAATCGATCATAGCTTGGAGCATCTTAGAAGACTTATATAAGTTAAACAAGCTAATTTGAAGATTATCTTATTTCATAATTGGAATACAATAGAATTTGGGTTACTTCCATTAGTTCATAGTTAAGTTTAGTGTAGTATACTCATGGAATAATGGTGTTGATTATTATTGCGTGAACTTTGTATCAATATTGGCGTCCAAATACAATGAAAACCTTCATTCATTTATTTTCATGTGGATATGAGTGAAAATAAAGTGAAACAAACACAAAATTAGTTAAAAGAACATCATACCGTTTTAGATCATAGGGTTTCGATTTCACTCCAAAACTAGTCAATCATAGTTTGAGACATCTAAGAAGACTTGTAAATGTTGAAGTAACTAGTTTGTTGAGTATTTTATCTCACAATTGAAATATAATAAAATTTGTGTTACTTAGGGTAGAGTGTAAGTTACTTACCAAACAGTAGTTTTGGTCACTATCGGATGAACTTGTATCGAACTTGTGTATTGAACTTGGTATTCAAATATAGTAAAAAATTGAATTCGTTTAATTTTTATATAAAAATAAGTAAATATAAAGTGAAATGAATATAAAACTAGTTGAAATGATATCTATTCTTTTAAAATGTCAGGAAGTCATTTTAGGTCACACGGTCTTGATTTTACTTTAAAAGTATTCGATCATATTTTTGAATATCTTAGAAGACTTAAAGAATTTAAACAAATTAATATATTGAGTATCTTATTTAAAATTGAAATATAATGAAATTTATGATGCTTTCTTTCGTTCGTGGTGGAGTTTAGTATAATTTATTTGTGGAACGATGTTGTTGATCAGTAATAGGTGAACTTTTTTATCAATCTTGGTATCAAATTGCAATGAAAGCTTTTATTTACTCATTTTCGAAAGGACATGAGTAAACATAAAGTGAAACGAATACAAAAATAGTTGAGAATGGTACCTATTCGTTTAAAATGACTGTATGCCATTTTGGATTTATGGAGTCTTGATTTTCACTTCAAAATTAGTCGATCATATTTTAAGACATTTTAAAAGACTTATACAAGTTAAACAAGTTAATTTGTTAGGAGTCTTATCTCTTAATTGATATATAATGGAATTTAGGTTACTTACTTTCATTCATTCATAGAGAAACCTAGTGTAGTTTACTCACGAAAGAATGTTATTGATAACTATCAAGTGAACTTTTTATATCGTCCTAGTGAAAATTAGATTTCAGTCATCTTCATATAGCTACGACAAAAAATGAAGTAAAATGAACACAAAATAGTTAAAATAATGGTTGACTAAATTTCACTCCAAAATTAGTCTATCATATCTATAAAAATTTCAACCACACATTCTTCAATAAAATAATATTACACGCAAATTCAAAACTTTTCTTTATTTTTTAACCACACATTTTTCCTATCAATATACTATTAAAAAATGTATTCTTAAGAATTTAATGTGGCTCAAACAAGGTGATAATTTAAATGGACTAATTTGTTCCGTAACTTATCTCATAATTGTAATATAATAAAATTTGGATTGTTTACCTTCTTTAGTAATTATATCTAGTGTAATTTGCTCACCTAACAATAATGTTGGTCATTATCGCGTGAACTTTGTATCGATATTGTTCAAATGTAATGAAAATTTGCATCCACTCATTTTCATATAGATATGGGTGAAATAATGTGAAACGGATAAAAAAAATTAGTTTAAACGACATCCAATCATTTAAAACGACAACTTGTAATTTTGGTAATGGGTCTCGATTTCATTCTAAATATAGTGAAAACTTTTCTAATTTCATTTTAATGTGGGTATGAGATGATATAACGTGAAACATACACAAAATTTGTTAAAACTTCATCAAATATTTTATAACGATAACATGTGATCTTCGATCATGACTCTAAATTTCACTTCAAATATAGTCAAAACATGTTTTTCATTAGTTTGCATGTGGATACGAACGAACATAAAGTAAAACGAAACCAAAATATGTTAAAACGGCACTTAGTTGTTTGAAAAGACAACATGCCATTTTGCTGTTGGTTTTAAGTTGAGTATGAAAAGTGAGAATGAAAGTGGAAATTCTTGTTAGGGGGATTTTATAAATTTCAGTTTGAAATTGGATATATTAGACATTTCAAATTAATGACACTTAAGACTTTTGATACATGATAAAATAGATTAAAGGTTATTTTACCAAACATTATTGATTGTGGACTATTTTACCAAATATTATTGTTTACTCGGTTTTGCAAGCAAATTCTTGGGCTTTTTCGTTGGTGATGACATCAAATGATTCCTTCTATCAATAGCACGTTCAGCCAAGAAAGTAAAAAAATAAAAATAAAAAAAACAAAAGAAAAGAAAACAAAAGAAAAGGTTGCTTTTAAGTATTTCGTTTATGAAACTTTATTTTTTCAAATTTTTATTTTCTTCAAATGTGCTACGCTTGTTATTATGAAATGCTTTATGATTCCTGTAAAAGTAATATTTAATTATGTTTGAATGTTAATTAATTTAGAATTTATATCAGAAAATATATACGTGACAATGAATGTTAAGTCATTTATTTAATTTCTAATTAAGTAAAATTGGATGTTAATTATATTAGCATATATTGACCTGAATAATGAAACACATTTTCGTGAATGTGAAATTCTAATCAACTTATAATTAATAACATTGAAATGCATTAATGAAGATAAATATTAATTAAATAAATGTGAATGTTAATTAATTGATAATAATAATTGGTAATTCATACATTAATGAAACTATTTAGGTAAAATGAATCTTTTAAGGGGGATGCCTTCAATTGAGAATTTTAATGACTTTTTGGGATTTAAAAAATTTAGAGGTATTCAATTGAGACTTTTTGAGACTCTCTAAAAATCACGGTGTATTCAATTGAGACTTTTAAGAAATCTCTAAAAGTCACAGCGTATTCAATTGAGACTTTCATAAACTTTTAAAAAGTCTCTAAAAATTACGGTGTATTCAATTAAAACTTTTTAGAAGTCTCTATAAATTTTAGGATATTCAAATTTTAATGACTTTTAGAGACTTTTATAAAAATCTCCGGAGTACTAACTTTTAAGTAGAAAGTACTCATATAAAATCTTAAAATTTGTCTCTCATTAATCACGAGATATTGGAAAACTTTAAAAAAAAAATCCAATCTTTTTTTCCTTTAAACTTCTATAGATATGTATGATTAAAATTTATTTTTTTCATTGATTATATTTATTTTCATTTATCTTTCTTTCTCTCTCTTATTATTTATCACTATTTTCTATGAAAAAATTAATTTTTATTCTTGTAGTTTTTTTTTTTTTTTTTTTTTTTTCCTTTTTTTTTTTTTTAAAAAATATTTTTTTGTTTTATTAAATTATAAAATTTAATATGAAAATTTTATAATTAAATTTAAATATATTGATTTTTATTTTTTTTAAAAGTATACTATACTAATAATATTGAATCATATATATGCATAATTTTTACTATTATTTATTTAATTAAGATCTTAAATTTTTTTATTATATGGGAAGAAGGGGAATTGTGAGAACTAGTACATTGTATATGAGAATTTCACACCATTGTATTAGATCTACATGAATCCTATTTCAAATGAAAGTCTTCAAAAGTCTTTCGAATTTTACAAAAGTCTATAGAAATTTTAAAATGAAAGTCCATAGAAGTTTACGAAAGACTTTCACTAATTCTATACAAATCTATGAAAAATTCACGAAATTCACAAAAGTTATTACTTAAAAAAAGTCCACCAAAGTCTCAAAAGTCCCAATTGAATACACCCCCTACATATACATTGATGGTAACTAAATAATTAAGTAAATTAAATACATATTGAAAAACGAAAAGTAAGGTATTATTGAAATAATTGAATTATAGTTAGACTAAGTTCGTCTAAAAAATTATTTTCACTTGATGCGATATTTAAGGGGTGTATTCAATTGAGACTTTTAAAAATTTTGATGAACTTTTTCAAGTGATGACTTCTGCAAATTTCGTTAATCTTTTCTAGATTTGTATGAAATTAATTGAAGTCTTTCGTAGACTTCTATGGGCTTTCATTTTAAATTTTTTATAAACTTTTGTAGAATTCAAAAAGTTTTCGAAGACTTTCATTTAAAATAAAATTCACGTGGATCTAGTACATTGGTATAAAATTTTCATATACGCCTCTGTTTGGTCCCCATTTTTCGATAATGAAAATGGATGGAATATTATTTTTTGAAAAATGAGAAGTTAAAAATGAAGGAAAAGTTTTCGAAGACTTTCATTTAAAATAAAATTCACGTGGATCTAATACAGTGGTATAAAATTTTCACATACGCCTCTGTTTGGCCCCCATTTTTCGATAATGAAATGGGAGGAATAATGTTTTTTGAAAAATGAGAAGTTAAAAAGGAAGGAAAATATTATTTTATGGAAGATTGTATGATTGAAAATAAAAAAGAGAAAAATAGAATGTAATTTAATAGGGGTCAAACAGGGCAAGGTGTTGGTTTCCACAATTCCCCTCTTCCTTCCCCTACTTCTTCCTATATAATATAAAAAAATTTAAAAGAATAAAAATTTGAGAACTTAATTAAATAAATAATAATCAAAATTATACATATATATGATAAAAAATAAATTTAATATTCAATATTATTAATATAATATACTTTTAAAAATAAATAAAAATCAATATATTTAAATTTAATTATAAAATTTTCATATACAATTTTATAATTTAGTAAAACAATAGATATTTTCACAAAAAATGAATTGAAAAAGAGAAAAAAAATGGTTAGGAGAATCCAATTTAATTTTTCATAAAAAAATAGAGTTAAACAATAAGAGAGAAAGATAAATGGAAATAATCATATTCAATAATTTTTTTTACGAAAGTCTCCCAAAATTTTGTGATTAATGAGAGACAAATTTTGAGATTTTATATGAGCACTTTCTGCTTAAAAGTTTCGAGACTTTTATATAATAGTCTCTAGAAATCATTATAATTTAAATATCTCGAAACTTATAAAGACTTCTAAAAAATTTTAATTGAATACATCGTAACTTTTAAAAACTTCTTAAAAGTCTATAAAAGTATCAATTGATTATACCGTGACTTTTAAAGACTTTTTAAAAGTCCATAAAAGTCTCAATTAAATACATCAATATTTTTAGAAAGTTTCAGAATGTCTATATTATTTACTCTCGAACTTTCGAAATTCTAAAAAGTTATTAAAACTCTCAATTGAATACACACCTCTTAATATATTATAGATTATTATTATTATTATTGAAAACAAAGAAGGCTAGAAAAAGATTAGAAAATTAAAATATCACGTGTTATTAATAGATTTGATATGAAGATCTTGTTTGATTTTTAATCATTGAAAATCTCTCTCAACTCATTTTCAACTAAAAATAAATAAATCATTTTTTACATTTCCTCGTAACTATTTCCTACTTTTTGATTATACATTTTAAAAAATATATATATTTTGTAAAAAAAAAAAAAAAAAAAATGCTTCTCAAAAAGTCGTTATCAATCGGTCTTTGATTCATCTGAACATGGGAGTTTAGCTAGTTAATTTTAATTGGTTGAAAACTCTTGACCATCTTAAGTATTGAGTGTTAAGCTGGTCAATTGGTCAAATTCTAATACCTGAAAACTTTTGATCTATCTCAAGATGAGTATAGTAAGTCTTCAAATATGCTTACTACTTATTGACCAATAATTACTAACAAAAAGTTAGAAGCTCGTCTTAAATATCAATTAATATTAAATTAGGCAAACAATTCTAAAATGAATGATAGTAATTCATATCATCATGCTTAATTTCTTGTGCCCCGTGACTTGTGATCTTATTTGACACTCGTGGGACAGTCAATGGTGTTATTTCTCAATACATAAATGTAGATTGTTTGAATATTAAGAATTGGTTTTAAAACAACAATTTTTTCAATTAGCACTTCATAATTAGACAATATCTATATGGAACATTGAAGTAAAGCAAAGTGTTCGATGGATGAAAAAATTCTCAGAACTAAAATCAGATTTAAAGTCCATAGAGATATTTTAAGAATAAGAAATCATCAAGAATTGTACCACAAAAGCATATTATAAAAATATCAGAGGTTGAAGTTTCACACCATAAAAAGAGTAAATAGAAATGCATAATCATAAGCCAAGAAATTGGCACCCATAATGAGGGGAAGAATAATTGAATTTTACGAGTAGTAGTTTGTTTTAAGCCACAGCAGGCATGTCCTTGAGCCATGGATCGAGTGGTTTCCCAATGGAGTACACGATAAATCCAATCTCTCTAAGCTTCTCGGCATTCACAATGTTCCTACCATCAAACACGAACGCAGGCTTCTGCATGCTGTCGAAAATCTTTTTGTAGTCGAGCTTTTTGAATTCATCCCACTCAGTGATAATGCAAAGACCATGCGCATCCTTAGCTGCCTCATAAGCATCCCAAACGACGTTCACTTGCTTCGTTGAGGTAGGACTCATCGGCTGGAGGTGAAAGGGATGGTCCCAGTCGAACTTTTTCATCGACAGATCCCTCTTAATCTGATCTTCAGTGACCTCTGGATCGTATATGCTCAAGCGTGCATTGTCCCCAAGAAGACCGTTGCACACGTCAATGGCTGGAGTCTCTCTTGTGTCGCCTGTATCTTTCTTGAAAGCAAATCCGAGAACCGCAATCTTCTTTCCTGAAACTGTGTTAAACATTGACGAAACAATGCGGTTGACAAATCGGTTCTTCTGGTAATCGTTCACCTTGATAACTTGTTTCCAGTAGTTGGCCACTTCGGTTAAGCCATTGCACTCGCAAATGTAAACCAAGTTGAGAATGTCCTTTTGGAAGCATGAACCGCCAAAGCCAACACTCGCATTGAGGAACTTTGGCCCGATTCTCGTGTCCTTACCGACTGCGTGGGACACTTGGGAAACATCAGCCCCGGTTGCTTCACAAAGTGCCGACATTGCGTTAACAGAGGAGATTCTCTGAGCCAAGAATGCATTGGCAGCAAGCTTCGAAAGCTCGGCTGACCAGAGATTGGTGCAAATGATCCTTTCTTCCGGCACCCAATGAGCGTAAACCGCTTTCAGGGCTTTGATTGCCTCTTGTCCTTCCGTGGTCTCTCGTCCTCCAATGAGAACACGGTCGGGGTTGAAAAGGTCCTCAATTGCAGTCCCCTCAGCAAGAAACTCCGGATTCGAAAGAATTTGATACTTGATCCCCTTGCTATTGTGCGTTAAAATTCTTTCGATTGCCTCGGCTGTTTTCACAGGAACAGTCGACTTCTCGACCACGATCTTGTCGGACTTGGATACATCGGCAATCATCCGAGCCGCACTCTCCCAGTAAGTAAGGTCAGCGGCTTTTCCGGCACCCAAGCCTCGAGTTTTCGTCGGAGTGTTCACCGAAACGAAGATTATGTCGGCTTCTGAGACGTGCTTTTCAACGTCGGTGCTGAAGAAAAGATTCTTCCCTCTACGTTGCTTCACGACTTCGTCAAGACCCGGCTCGTATATCGGTAGCACGTCGCTGTTCCAGGCAGTGATACGAGCAACAGATATATCGACTACTGCCACTTCGACGGACGGGCATTTGAGGGCAATGACCGCCATTGTCGGACCACCAACGTATCCAGCTCCAATACAACAGATCTTCACCATCTTTCTCTGTATAAAGAACCTACAAAAATGGGACATGACATAATTAGGAAAATAAGTTATGGACTATCGATACATTATAATACTACGTCCCAATCGTGCAAAATATGAATTAATTAATACAGAAACGGTTTCATAGTTACAGGTTCCCTGCGCGATTTTCCTCCAAAACTTAAAGAGAAAATCTAAATTCAAATGAAATTAATCAAGAAATGCCGATCAGTTGGACCAAATTCAGAGCTTGTTAGTTACCCACTTTTTGTCCTGAATAGAATAAATCAGAAAGTTGCTCTTTCAAAAAGCCACTTATTTATTCATTTCATTTGACAAAAAAAATAAAAATAAATAAAATCTCATAGTATTTGCCAAAAATGAGGGTATAAATAGAACTCACAAAGACGAGAAAATACAGAAATTAACTCCCTTGCAGAAATGGTTGGCCACATGATTAGATAACAATGGCGCCCAGACAAGGGCTCAATATATAAAGGGAAAAAAATGAAAAAAGTATAAATAGCACATAGTTAGACAAGAAGGAAACAACAAAAACAACAAATTTGATGCACAATTTGAATAAAATTCTCACTACGTTGGCTTGTTTGATAAGGTGTACTGTATTGCATCAAGAAATAAAAGCAACTAAAAATCTTGTCAATTATTCCGATCTATTAGACAAAAACTTACCTCAAATGGTGGACAATTGATCCAAAATACGAGAGAACTCACTTGTGCATAAGAGCAACGGGGCCAATACTTGATTATATACTGGTAAAATTAATCTACTTTTTTCACAAAATAAGCAAAATGAAAAATTCAGAATTACTTGTGAAAAAGAAGAAGTTGCAGAATTTGGAGCGTCCAACACGTTTCCAAACGTAACCTTTTAGTAGTAAACAAGGAAATTCACAAGATTAATTAATCTCGTACAAGAAACGGAAAAACCACTTAAATAAGCCGTTTACGTTTCACTTAAATAATCAAAATCAAATTATACAGATATACATCAGATTGCGTGTATCATAATGGTTGACTAAATTTAAAAAATCCTAAAACCTTTCAGAGATGTTCTTGAAAATAAGAAAAATGAGATTGTTTTGACCAAAAGTAACAGAAAATCTTGCTTATTATACCATTCATTTTCGTACCCTAATACTTGAGAAACAATGTGTTTAGGTGGTCCAAAAGGCATTGAGGGAGATCAAAGACAGTTATTAGAAACAATTATAACCACAAAACATTATATAAATTATCTTGAAAAACGTGTTTATACCTGATAAAATGGCCTTAAATCAGCAACAAGAAGGTGGTGAAAAGCGTGAATGACAGAGACTGCTGGTGTAGAGAGAGTTTTACAGAGGGAGAATGAGTTACAATGTGAAAATGTAGATGAAGAAGACGAATGTTAATATAGGAGTATTAAAAGCTGATTAAGGCAATTTAAATGAGAATGGGAAGACTATTAATAAATAGCTATTTTTGTTTTTACAATTTTGTTTATTAAAAGAGTTAAATACTCATCTATCCCTGAAATTCTACTCATGCCTCTAAGCGTCCTTAAACTTTAAATTTTTTTTTCTAAGCTATTTGATTTCATCCACCTAATTTAATGTCTCACTCAACTACACGGGTCGATATGCCAGCACCTAGTATCCGTCGTCTACGTCTAGAACTATAGGGGTGTAGCAAATGAGGGTGGATGTCAAAAAAAAGGCGGTTTTGTTGTTAAAAAAGAGTTTTCAACAATTGATATTTTTTCTGTCGATAAATTTTCCTTTTTTAACAGTGTTACCTGAATTTCTATCAACCTTAAACAAGATAGAATAAAAAAAAAATTCGGCAAAAAACTAACGGATCTATTGCACAATTCTTTATTGTTGTAGTTATTTAAGATAATTAGTTGCGAAAAAATATTTTATGAACTTTTGTTTCAATGTGTTGTATGTTTGAAAATCAACATATAAGCATTTGATAAATAAAAGATTTAACAGTTATGCCCGTTTATGGACATTAATTATAATATTCTTCTTAAATGGCCCATCCATTTACCATGAAAATAAACGTGGGGCTTTTGTAATGTTTCCACTTTAAACTGATAATTAATAACCTGAGATATTATATGGGTTGGTATCTACAAATCACGGACACTTTTGTTCATAGTTATCAAATCTGGACCGGATCGTGAACCATTGAACCGGACCTTGATCCGGTCCGGGTGAATTAACTAATCAACGAAATATTTGAACCGATCAGCAACCGGTTAAACCACCAATAAACCGTCCGAACCAAGCAGTTTTACGTGGAACTGGATCCGGTTTAATGTGTGAATCTGATGGTTAATAAATTGGAATAAAATGTTGGACTAAATTTTGCTGAAGCCATGACTTAAACCTTGAATGGCAAGGAGATATTTTGTCTCCATAGCCATTTTGGCAAGCGATGGCGCTGTGTCTTATGATGAGAGCAAAATATATATATTATATTTCGTGACCCTTTTCAAGCCAATTATGCGTCGATGCAAATTACCAAAATATGTGGTTAGATCCGATTTTCCAAAATTAGTCAATAACCTCTGTCGAGCGATATCAACCCTAATTGCTTGGCATTAACATATTTCTATGTCGTTCTAAACCAAACAACTGCATTCAATTTTTGTGAAAATAATTCAACGGGTCACATAGGGTAGGTATATATATCTGGATACCTAAACGCGTATAGTCGAAACCATACAAACCTATGGTATTAATTATTTCAGTCCATTATGTGCAACTATTTTTCAATAATTACGCAACTACCTAACCACAATATCTATTGACGTCAAATAAATATAGTAATCTTAAACATGATAATTAATACACCAATATTTTGATAACAAATGCATATCTAACAACATATAACACGATATTAATGAAAATAGGTTAAACTAATAAATAAATTCTAACATAAACTTGTTTAGTTCATCATTCTAACAAAATAACAAAGAGATTCTCATAAACATATCATTACAAACATGAAGAACAAAATGAAAGGAGTACAAAAGTTGAGATAAAACCCTTTTAAATACGAATTGTAATTCCTTCAATGTATTCTTCAAACTTTCCTTAATGATCTCCTTGCTATATCCACTTGATTCCCAAAATAAAACTATAATTAACAAAAGAAAATAAAACTAAAAGAAAAAAAACCAAGAAAAAGAGAGAGAGACCTAGAGAGATAGAGAGAAAAGTGAAAGAGTTGGGGAATTTTTTTTACCTACCAAATTATATTAGTATATATATGGAATATGTATAAAATATAATATAAAAAAAAAGAATTATTAGACACAACATAAATATTCTAAAAATATCTAGAATAAAATAAGGATAAAATAATAAAAATGTTGACCAAAATATCTCGAAATTGCAGATCAGGTCCTTCAACTTTCATTTAGTGCAATTTGGTCCTCAAAATTTGACTTTTATTACATTTAGGCCCTTCCCATAATTGCACTTCAAGTCCTTTTCCTTCTCTTTTCACTCGTTTTACTTCTTTCCGGGGGTTTTAGCCTACAAAAGTAACAATTACACAATTATAAATAGAAATCTACTCAATTTTATCAATAATAAAATTCCAAAAAGTGCTAAATAAGTGTGTAAAAACACACTTATCATTATGTATACGTGTTTCATATTCGAGCATACTGTTGTATTTGACACACATACATTTTAAATATTCTAATTAACGTGTGTGTCTTTTATATATAATTTTCAAATTTTTTTATACTTAACGAATGCTTTATGAGAACTTGTGCAACAAATGCTAGTACGCTTTATGCTTGTCTTATACTAAAAAGTATAAAGAATAAAGAATAAGCCTCTTGTTTGGTATAAATTAAAATTATTTTAGTTTAAATAAACTTAATAATCAATTTTGACCATAAATTCTATGGATTTCACAATTTTTCAACAACATATTTCATTAATTTTTATTAAAATTTATTAAAAATCTTATTTTAATTCCTATCAAATAGGGGCAAGATAGATTATGTAAATGTACGATTCTAAAAATTTATCGACATACTCTTGACTAATCCGTAATTTATATGAAAAATTGAGTGTTAGTGTCGTAACACTTTCTTAAGTTGGTATGATTAAAAATATATATAATATGAGGATGTAGATCGACAACAGTGATTATGCTTCTTGTTTTTTGATTCTTCCTAATTGTTTACCATATTTTTCATTTCTTTTATATAAAGATATAAGAGAAATATAATAAAACTAGATTTGAGTGCATATATTTAAATTTAAATATTTCCTTTTTTCAAAAAATATATAAATTTTTTTTTTTAATCTAAAGATACATTTTAGAGAAAATAGTCAAACGATTTGAGACTTTGAGTTGTCCCAAAATCTTAAAAAATTAATAGTTCCATAAACGAATATTATTCGTAGTTTACATATAAAACAAATTGGGAATGTGAGATTAAACATTAATTCAACTAGCCTCATTTTAATATTTATGCCAAAAAAAAATTATTTAATAGTTACAAAGTGCTACAATCCTTAGTGTTTCAAACGATAAGATTCAATGTGATTTTCATTGTGCAAGATAGTAAAAATTAAAAGTTTATAATGGAATGTACATTTAGAAGAGTACAAATCTTTTATACTGTTGGAGGCGACTTATAGAAACGGGCTATGTAAAGGTTGATTGTTGATATATTTATATGACCAATTTTAACTCGCAGGAGCGTAATCTAAATACAATTTATATGAACAGAAATTTGGACAGAGTTTATGTATATATATAAATGTGGTAACGATTACGCAAAACAAGAATTAAGCAGTAGAAAATAGAGAATAATTCAAGGTGAGACGTTATCTCTTTCCTTAAAACAAATTGCTCTATTACAATACTCACAGTGAATGTCAATTGTCTCCCAAGATATAATGGATTCACAACTTGTGGTAGCAGCACTTCAAACCACAAGAAACCGACAATTTTTTTTACAGAATTTTCCCTCTACAAAGGAAATGCATGAAAATACTAGAGAAATAGAAAGGAGAGAATTGCTAGAGGAGAATGAGTATTCAATGTAATAGGTGTATCCAAAACCATATCCATAGGGTCCTATTTATAGATATAGAAATGGTGCGGATGAAGTAGTGTAGGCCAAAACATGTATCATTTCGAAAAGTTGCATCACTCCATTTCTTCCAACTTTGGATCGCAATTTCTGATTAATCCGGAATTGGTTTCGAGATTCCAAATATATCACGATTATCTACTCGACAAGTAGAATAAGTTGGTCTATTTACTTTTATAATTTGACCATCGGATCATGTTCGAATATTTGGTCAAAGTTGACACGACGTCACACCTTTTCATTTTCCACTTTTACACTTAACCAATTTTCGGTTATTTTTTAACCAATTCCAACAATTCTCCACATGAATGAAAACTTGGGTACACACATGCAAATGTGATGATATGATGCAATATAGAGAGGGAACGAAAAAATACTACATCAGGGATAGTGGCTTCTGGCCTTGAACCTCCCTTAGTGAAATACTTTCGGACTTACTCAGCTAATTAGTGAATCATAGGTTTTGAACCACCCAGCCTTTGGTGTAAGCCAAGACGACAGTACTCACACAGATATTTTCCATATTTTGTACTTAGTTCTCATGACTTGATTCATTTTGGCCCTGAACCCTTTTTGATTTCATAAGTGTTTAGAAAATTCAAGCCTTAAACAATTCTCATTGAAACTGCCCAACTTCATACTTACATAGGTGACCTCCTATTAGGAGTATTCTGCCATATTCTACTTCACTTAATCAATATATAAGAATCATTAAAAGATAATCTTAACCTCTATCCACTCTACAGAAAGCACTTTAGTATCATAGGAATGAGTTAGAAATTCTAATTTTTCCTAAGTGCTTCATGG